GAGGTTCATACATTCTTCCTTTGATTCTTTGTGCTTGGCTCTTGGCACACTTACTACATTAAAGCATTACTACATTTGTATTTATGGCAGTCTTAGGAATAAAGGAGGGAGTCTAGCCTTTGCCGCTATTGGAATCTGACTAAAGCCCTTAGCATATTCTGAAGTTACATGCCAACTAGAGCAGAAAAATGGAATCAGCCCTCAGCTGCTAAATTGGTGAAAGGAGGGAGGATACAGGTTACCCTTGTGCCCACACTTCCTACCACAGAATATTGTTTGATAAGACACAGCCTAGATCCAATCTATTCTCACCTTCTTGGTATGAGGATCTGAGCTGGGCAGTAGATAAAAGATAAATTGTGAAGGAAAATCAAGCCAATGGTTTTCACCTTAGTTATGTTGTCATCATATGAAATTTCACTGAGCTATATACTGGACACTGAGACCTGAAGTATTGACAGACCAGTGTTAGAAGCAAAGGGCTTTATAGAATTATTAGCTCATGAAGAATCTTCTGCAGCTTCATCGTAGGCATGAAACTGAGCACCAAATTGTATGGTTCATGTAAAGTAATTGATTGGCACTTCTGTCTACACCAACATTAACAATTTGTGACTTTAGATGGTGGTAGAAGGTCTGCATTAGCTCATTGGAACTACAAAGTGAAAATAAATTTTAACTATAAATTGTTTACAATTCAACATCATACATTGTTTAAATCCTGGTGAATCTACATGATTAATGGACATGGGCAAGTCTTATAATCTCTTCAAATGTTGGTTTGACTTTCTTTAAAGAGACAATAATGTGTTTTTCTCAAATATTGGAAAATTAGATCATGAATCTAAGCTTTTTGTATTTAATTATGAATTTCCTAAGCTCCCAAAAGGAATTATTATTGAGTCATCTCAAAAACGCATTCACATGACATAGGACTCTGCCTAGAAACACACATAGAGTATACATTTCAAATTTGAAGTTTTTAAAAATCATCTCACACTGAAGATAACTAATTCACTTTGCCCTTATGTCCAATGATCTTGAGTAAATTAGGATTGTAATACAAATTTGTATAGGCTGACTTTTGTCTGCTTGTTTTTGGGTCAGTACCTCCAGTTTGCAGATAAAGGATTTTATAACTTTTTATTTCATTAACCATTAGTTATTTAGAAGTGCTAATTACAATACAAGGTAGAAGAAAGAATAGAGAACTGGAATCAAAGAAGCATAACTTCTAAATGCAGACCTGTTTGTCCTAGGACAAATTAATCTATCTGATTCCAGTTGCTTTGGACATAGAAGGAAAACAAACTGTGCCTGTGTTTTATTTCAAAGGTCATCTATAGTTGTCACCTGGTTCCACAAGAAATGTAGAATGCCTCAATTTCTAATTTTTTTTTTATTTGTGAGCAACATTGAATCCTGTGTCTGTACATCTGTTTACCTCCCCACTCATTAGAAGAGTGTATAATTGCTTTTATTTTGAAGATAATTTTATTCCCAATTCTGAGACTTTCCATTGTCAGGTAACTTTAAAAGGATAATTTGTTCCACTCAGTCAGACCTCTCTTCTTGTACCTGGAAGACTAGTTACACGTGTGGGAAAGACCCTACAATCCCCATCATATTCTCCAAACAAAATTATGTAAGTTATTATGAAAGCCAACAATTAGAGTAAAAACTACACCTGCTGGCATGATTCTTTAATTTTTAAATTAAAGAACAAGAAAGAATTTCTATGAAATAATTTTCACTAATTCTTTTTTACTTTCTGTTCTTTTTTAACAAGCTTCTTGTTCAACAAGCTTTTACAAAAATAAAACATACTCAACACATATTTAATAAACTTGAATGTTCATTAGTGGAATTCAATCAACTTACAAAATTTTATAATTTTTATATCCAATTTGAAATAGAGATATCCAACTAAGGGAAATATAAAAGTGACAAGGAACAGAAGTATGTATTTCTGTGCCCTGTGTGACTGTTGTTGGTTGGATTATGAAAAAGAGGATTTGCTGGTATGTAATTGAGATTACCAATCCACTACTGGAATCAGACAAAAGTCTTACAGTGCCAATAGACAGTTATGAACTCCTAACTCCCATTTGAATAATACCTGCTACAAATTAAATAAATTCTTTTCTTTTTTCATAATGGAATATTCTTATTTCTGCTTCCACTATAACTTTACAACAAAGGAAGTTCCATAGAAAAGGATATGGGTGGGGTTTCCATATGATTTAGATTCTAATGCTTTGCCTGGCAGTGGTCATTATGTAATGTGGACTGATTTTATGGCTCAGTGTATATTTGATACTGTACTAGAGTTTGTTTTCCATACTTAAAGTAGACAATGAAATAAAGCAATACAAGTTTTGAAAGGAACTCTTCCTTTGAGTTTGCATCATTTGACCCTCTCTGTTCCCAAGGCAAAAGCCTGGCAGAAATCTCCTCAGAAACACATCTATCATGTGCTCCCTACTGTTTCTGGGGCTCTACCTTCTCTCTATTTTGGAAAAGTAACTTTTTGAACCCTGTGGTTCTTCATTGTCAGATGTCTAGCCATCACCCTAGACATCTCACAGGATCAGAAGAGAAAGACTGGGGCCATCCCTCCCCCTGACCCATGGAATATGATCTAGAAATGGAAACAGCAAGGAAGCATTTGAAAAAAAATCTCCAAAAGTCCCTTCTAGGTCATACAACATCAGAGCCTGATCTCATCACCACAGATTTTCCTTCCTATGTGTGATAAAATACTATGGATAGAATTTAGCTGTTCTAGGGTACTATTTCAGACATAAGCTTTTTGTTTCAATTTCCTGAAGCATATTTTATATGACAAAATCAATAGAGTGAGACACATATAACAAAGGCATGCCTAAGTTTGCTAACAAAGTGGAAAAGGTCTGAGTCATATCAGAGACTTATAATAAATAATACTCATGAAAGGCTAGCAAGATTATTTTATAGGTAAAGAACTTATGCACAAGACCAGGGACATGAGTCCAAACCCCTGAATCCACAGTGGATGAGAGAATCCACTTCTGGAAGTTGTATTCTGGTTTCCATGTGTTTCCAGGCACCCACACAATTGTGCTTAGATATACACAATGATGTTTCAATTTAAAAATAAATAAATAGCCATATATGTTTTGTGCTGAGGCTCTGAAATCCATGAAGTGACATGCTAAAAACACATGCTAGGCTTCCAGGATACATACCTCGTCAGTTTCCCAGTATTCCATTATTATCTCTGTGACTTAATTTTCATGTGTTTTTAATCTATTGTTTGCTTAGCTTAATTAAAAATGTGTTGTATCATTAAGTACTTCATCTTTCAGTTAGATGGCTTTACATGGAATTATGTGAAAAAGGAATGAAAAACTTTTCAACGATTATAGTAAATGATCTAGAGAGTTGCCCACATTTTATAATTAGCTTAGTCAGGATGTTAATTATTTTCTCTGTAGCCTATGTAGAAGATATATCTTCAACATATGCCTATAAAATTATTAATATAGACTCATTTTAATTAATAAAGGAAAATGTGAATTTAAACACACGGGCAAATAATAGTCTCACATAAAATGTAACCTTGGTATACAGAAATCATTGTGTGGCTGGCTGTGTTATCTTGTATTTAACTAAGGTGAGAAATGTTCCAGGTACTTTAGCCATATGTATTCTTCATCGAATAGAACTTCAATAAAAAATTGCACAATTCACATTATGATTGTTTGGCACATGGGCATGGTAAGAAACATCCATGATTACAATGTTCTGGCAGCAAGAAGGGAGGCATACACAAGAGATACTATGGAAACTCATGGATCAATAGGCATGGCAAACATAGTGATAACAACAGACCTTCTCAATCAAAGTGCAAGATGAGGACCAACATCTGAGTGGTCCGTTGGCCTCTACTCCTGACACACACACACACACACACACACACACACACACACACACACACACCTTCTAAAAATCAGATTATTTGGCATGGTGTGCTGTCTCTTAGTTTTTGTTGTTGTGTATTTGTGACAGCCTTGTTGTTTGTTTCTGTTTTGCTGGTTTTTGTCATGTTCATAAAAGAATTAAAGGACATGTTTTATTTGCAAACTTTTGTCAGCAGTCTGGCCATTACCTGTTCATACTCCAAGATAACAACCCTGAATAAGTACTTGTGACAACGAAGACACAAGAATGAATGATGGATCTGTGTAGCAGCTATAGCTCTGTCCTCTAACTAGCTTTCATTCTTCATCTTTACAGTTTCCATTTCCTCTATTGAAATAGATTCTTCTGCCCATGTTGATGGTCTTCTGAACTCTTCTAACATGTGCTCTGTTAATGATACTGTTAATAATTTTTCATATTCTTTCTCTCTTCTCTTTTAGTCTCGACCTATTCCTTCCCACCTTACTTCAGCAGTTGCAGAGAGTATCTTGGCTTCAGCCTGTGAAAGCGAGAGTAGAAATGCTGCCAAGAGGATGCGCCTGGAGAAAGCACAGGTACTGAGAAGTGTGGAGGAGTTCAGACTCTTGAATGGATCTAACACACAAACAGACTTCTGTTCTTGTAAACTTGGATATGGAAAATGTCATGCTCTGGTGATTCATGAATACCAAACAAAAAAGTCTATGGTGAAAAGGTGGCAATAGCAAAACTGAATTAAACTCCCTGTATCAATTTAATGGTTAGGAGGTTCTGACTGACTGGTTATCACATTATTCAAATTTGCTTTGTCATTTATAATCAAGACTCAGAGGTGTTCATTTGTAATGAAAATGAACCTTTCTTTAATGATGTCTGGTCTATTCTGGCATATATTTCTAGACTGCTTGAAGCAGGGTTACTATATTACCAATGACAATAGGTTATGCTGATGGTAATCAAAGCACAGATACTCTTTGGAAGATTAGAAAGTCTTATGTGGGGAACTAATCTAATGCATATCCATGTCCTTGGCTTACTCTTCTTTATAATTAAACCTCTCTCTAAAAACTCTGGTCTTGATTCTTTAGCTGGTAATGTAACATGAGCACTTTTAGTGCACTATTCGTTGGTGCGTCTCTTGGTTCTTTTAATTCTGTGTTTTTCTTTCTCTCTTATCTATACAATAGATGTCTCTTCCTTCTCTGTCTTCCTTTCTTAATTATCCACAGTGAAAGATCTAAATTGCTGTGTGTTACAATATATGCTATCGGTAAAGGCTTGCTTTGTTATGATTTTTTTAACTTTATAAATAAAATGGCACTTCATACTTACTGCAACTGAGATGATTGAAGAGTAAATTGTTAATTCGATATTGTTTACCTCACGAAAAAAATGGAGGTTTCTCTTTCAAGATTAGAGTATCTTTTAAATGTGTCAGAATGACATTATTTTATATATTGATTATTATTAAATACTATCTACTTATAGTTCTGAGCATTGCAAAGCATGAAGCCAATAGTTAAACAAAATACAGTAACAATTGGATCAAAACTATTTGAAAATGCCAATTTTGGATTTATTAATGGTGACAATATTCACTTTCATGTTCATGTCTTCAGTTTAGATGACTTACCATCATTATAATGGTGAACATTTCATAAGGTTGGATACAGTGCTGTATGCATTGTCACTTGGCATAATGATTAGCTTGTGCATTTGTAGAATAACTACACCTCACTTTGATTCTCATCTCTACCATAACTGGTTAGATAACCTTCAGCAAGCTAGGTCAGTTCTGTGTACTTCAGTACCCTTATGAGAAGTAATAACTCTAACAGTGCTAATTCTTAGAGCCAATATGAGCACCTTAAAAAAGAAGTGGTATGCTATATACTAAGCATTATTTCTGGGAAGAAAGTTAGCAGCAACAAGATCCACCTACAAGGTTCTCATGTCTAGGTCTTTTGCCCTTACCTAAGTAGCTGTGAAACTAGAAACAAGCATCAATGGTTTGATCGCTGATGTAAAAATCTCTTGTCAGTCTAAGTCCATTTGGGAAACGGTCTTAACTCTAAGAACTAGAATATTAAAATTATAGAATTGAAAGGACTATTCTGCTTGATATATAGTCGTGTGCACCACCTACTGACTCTAGAATATATTTTCACAGTATCGATAATATACACATTTCATGAAAAATGACAAAATCATGTCATATTATTACCTGTAGTATCACTCTATAGTATCCATCATGTTGGGTTGTGTTCAATCTGTAAAATAGATAAAGATATATATTTAACACATAAATTTGCTGTGATGCTTTGGTAAGTCTCTTTGTATGAAAGAAGAATATTGTTTTATGTTTCTTTTTTTCTTTTTTCTTTTACATATATTGTTAATTATGTTTGCATCACATGCTTGATTATCTTAAGCAGTAGAAATATCACAGGTACTTTACTAGTCATTTACTATTTACTAATACA